GACCCGTGCTTGCTGTCCTGTGTGACCCTGGCTGCTGGGGCTGACCGTGGAGCTGAGCTTCTGTCCCTCACCCTGCCGCCCTGCTCTCCCTGCTCTCCCTGCTCAGCCCCCTTAGTTGCCATCTCTGGCCCTTTTACCTCCTCGCTTTCCTCCCCTGCCTCGCCTCATCTTCAAGAAGGCCAGGCACTGAGCAGCTCTCAAGTCAGCTGGGCAGCCGGGTCACTGCCCTGCTTGGCCTGTGGGCCCTTGGGGGAGACAGGTGGGCCTCTGAATATGCACTCAGCACCTCTGAGATGGGGAGGTTCCGAGTGACAGCAGTCAAGGGCAGGCGCTCCCAAGGGTGGCTTCCACGTTGGGGTCCGACTGGGATCAGGCGGACTGGGGTGTGTGTGTGTGTGTGTGTGTGTGTGTGTGTGTGTGTGTCCGTGTCCGTGTCCGTGTAAGGCAGTTTCCTAATAGAGGAGCATGTGAGACGGGAGCAGGTGAGTGCCCGCGGCGGAAGGCCTCCTGGTGGAAGGCAGCAGGGGAGAGCGGTGAGAGCTGAGGTTGGGGTGCTGGGGCAGGCCGGTAAAGGAGACTGCAAGCCTGGGTGGGCCTGGTGTGCAGGGGTCCCTCTCCCCGGTCCCCAGCCCCCCACTTCCCTCTCTGCATTCCGCTCTCTCTTTTTCCTCCTTTTCACTTAACAGTTCTGAGGGGCGATTGAATTATGTCTCTCCTCCAATTCCCTGTGAAGTCCTAACCCTTGGGACCTCAGCTCGTGCCCTGGTTTCTGCAGCGATGGAATGAGGTCGTTAGGGCGACACTCCCCTCCCCATGTTGGTGTGACCCTTGTTACTTTGCGGGTGCAGATGTGGAGAAAAGGACCACAGCCTTCCAGAAGCAGGGAGAGGAGCCTGCACCAACTCCCCTCACCCTGCTGAGCCCTTCCCCTGGACCACAGCCTTGTCCCCGCAGTAGCCGGGGAAGCTGAGAGTGTGATGGGCTCCAAACGCACCTTATTTATCAAGCAGAGAACAGGATGTGCTGGCTGGATGGAGGCTGTGGCCCTAGCCTCACCCTCCCCTCCACCTCCACCCCCAGATTCCAGGCATTGCTCCGTAGGTTGCTGTCTCTAAAAGGTAAGGACCACATACCACCATCCCTCTACCAAGAAGTGAACCGTTCTTCTATAATGTGGCCACTTACTCAGTGTGCAGATTTCCACTTGTCTCCGTGATGTCATACTTTTAAATGGTGTCTTCCACCGTCGGACCTGTCCCTCCCCTCTCCGTCCGCTCTCTCCACACTCCCCTCCGGCGCGGCAGGTTTCTACAGGGCTTGCGTTCTGTGGTGCTGTCTGACACACTGGTTCCTGGGCCTCACTTGGACACAGGAGTGATCCCTGTGCCCATGATGGCCTGTCCTGGCCCACATGATGTGTGTGTGAACTTCCCATGACATGAGGTAGTTTTTTGTTTGTAAACAGCTATTTTAAGAATATAAATTCTTAGCTGTCCCTAAGATGCAGATTATGCAGCCAACCGGGCAGGGTCTTGGCTGCGCTGGTTTGCCCATCCCTAGCCTAGGCTGTGCTCTCCAAGGACCCATGGCTCAGACGGAGACCAAAGTTCACAGTTGGACAATGGGCCACTTGTTTGCTAAGGTGGAGAAGGCAGCTCTGCTGCCTGAGGCCTTTCAGAAGGCTCTTGGGGAGGGGGTTGGTTCAGAAGATAGGAAGTGGAGCTGGTGGTTACATTGGGAAATTATGTCCTCTCGTGGAGCCCGAGGGCAAACCTCTCAGGCCTGCTTGCAGCAGACTGGTGGAGGGAGCCCAGTGATACGGCACACTGAAGGTCATTGGCACACCAGGTGATGGGCGCCTGAGTGCACGGTGGTGTCACAGACGGTCAGCCGGAGAATGCTGCTGGCCGGCGCAGCCCGAAACACTGGCAGTCTGCTCTTCTCCAAGGCTTGAGCCCTTGGGAAACCAGGCAGTAAGGGAATTCCCAGTCGCGCACTCAGGCAGGAACAACAAAAGCAGACCTGGCATTTTGTGGCTCATCCTTTCCTTTTATCCGTGCCCCTTGGAGTATTTTTAATTTCTCCCCAGTGTGGGTTCACAGATACCTCATTTGTTTAATTACAGAGGTGCCGGAGTACCTTGTGAGGGGCTGGGTGCCCTGAGTCAGGCCCCTGGGTGGGGTTTAGGGTGGATGGAATCATAGGTAGTGCTCCCGCCTCGCTCTGAGTCATCGCCGAGAAACCGCGGCCCCAAATGAGCCGTGTCTAAGGCAGGTAATGCGTGCCTATGTCCGGGGCTTTCTCAGCTTTTCTGCTTATTAAACCAAGTGCTGGATAGCTATTAGCATGCTTTGAGAGCCGGTAAATGAAGGTTCACCCAGTGGACTGGAGGGGTGCCAGGTAGCTTTTAATCCGTGTCTCGGGAAGCGTGCGATCGCCGCAGACCTCTCATTATCCCTGTGCGAGGCTGGTAATCGGAGCGCTGCCTAAGTGCACAATGTCACTCCCATCATTACTGATGCTGCCCTCGGCTGAGTGCCGCTCTGGCCCAGGTGGTTCTGCTGAGGTGGAAGGGAAACTACCCCTGCTCGGGGTGCGGTTTGTGCCCGGGCTGTGGGGGTTTCAGTTGTGGTTTTGTGCCTCTAGAAGTTACTTCCTCTCTGTGGTTTGTGCAGGCCTGTCCCAGCCGCGACGCCCAGCGTAGATCTGACTTGCTCATCTTGCTGGAGTGTTTCCTTCCTTTATAGAGGGTTTTTAGAAGCACAGGGCTTTGGGCTGATCAAAAGAAAAAATATAGCAAGTGAAATACCTCTTAGAGGCACTAACTGTGAAAATGTGTACTTGTGGCTGCCCGCAGACCTCTCAGGCGCTGATTTGTGGGGGCGTCTAATGGGCCTGTCAGACGCTGAGGTTGGCTGGGCAGGGTCCTTGTGGAGGCAGGCCGAGTCCGGAGAGCCGAGGGCTCCTGCAGCTGCAGCAGGGCGGGCGGAGGGCAGGACCTGGAGTACGCGGGGCGGCCTTCCCGGGCCTGCCTGGTGACTCACAGAGGACAAAGTCGTGAATCAGGGTGTCCCTGTCCAGCCTTACAGTCAGTGCGGAGTGTCAGAGGCCGAAAGTCGTGGGTGAGAAAAGAGGAGACAGCCGGTGGATGTCAGCCCCAGGGGGCTGTGCTGCCTTCCCTGCCAACGCGGCAGCCGGGCGCATAATGACATGAAGCCCTTGGTGAGGGTGGCCGAAATGGGGGGCTGCGGAAGGGTCCTGCGCCTGGCCCTGGCACGGCCCTGCCCCTCTTGTTTCTCCGGCCCTGACCTCAGAGGGGCAACTTGATACTGGGCGGCTTTTGTTGTTTTAATCAAATCTCAGATAAGACTGGCCCCTGAAGAAGGAATGCTGCTGGTGAGACCGGCTTGGCTTCGAATGTAGGGCACGCCTGAAATCCAGGGGTGTTGCCTCGGCGGACCTGCTGCGTTCTGGTGTGCGTGCAGGATGTAGGTGTGGAGTGGAGTTAGCGTAGCAGGAGCCACCGCCGCACTGGGGGAACAGGGACAGACTTCAGGTCCTGGGACTCTCATTCAGTATCTGCTGCATATTTTTAAAGAATTGTCTTTTTGGCAGGGGGTGGGGGCGTGAGCAGGCTCCCTCAGTACAGCTGCGGCCAGGCCCTGCGGGGTCTTTGTAAGAGGCTTCCTGGGGTGCAGGAGCAGAGTGGAGGGGTGCAGCCAGGGGAGCTCACCCTCAGCTTGAAGGGGTTCCCTGGGCTGTCACCCCAAGGGTGAACATCCGTGTGTCTGTAACCACAGAGCGACTGAGAAAACAAGCAGAATGCTCCTTAGAACAACGTCCTGCATAAGCGCAGCAGGCGTCACGTGGATGTTAACACCTCAGCGTTAGCTGCCTGCGCAAGGTGCACTGACTGATGTGAAAGTTGCATGCAAAACTTTGAGGGGAACCGGGAGTCTGCTTCGCCCTCAGTGTTTACGCGTCAGTTGTGTTTTTAACGTGTGTCTGTAAGCTGTGAGCCATCCCTCTCCTGGGTGCGTGCTGGGCTTTGCCAGTCTCTCTTGAGGCGCGGAGCTGGTTTAGACACAGGGAGTCCAGTACAGTCACATGGGCAGAGTTCGCCTCCCTGGCAACTGCCCGGGAACGAGGGGCTCCTCACCCCCATGAAGATTCTAGATTCTTTGCAGTGTCTGTAAGTTCAGTGTAACCTGGATAAAACGCCACCCAGAGGCAGGAGTGTGTTGCCAGGCTCTTGCTGAGACCCGGTCAGAGGATGGAGGGGCGAGAGGAATGGAGTTGCAGCGCTGCTGGGCTGGCTTGACTCCTGGATTTGGTGGGGAAAACGGGACCAGTCCCCATAAAGCCCGGAGTCCCGTTAGTGGTTTCCTGTCAGAGGTGGCATCTTGGCGGTGGTTGAGATGCCCACGTCCAGTGTTACCGCACCTCGGGCCGAGTCCTGGCCCTGGCTCTGCTCTCAGGCCATCCTGGGAAGCAGCTACTGGTCACTCAAGTAGTTGGGTCCCTTCCACCCTGTGGGAGATGGGTATTGAGTTCCTGGCCTAGCTCCAACTCTTGGGGCATTTGGGGAATGAAACATGGGTGGGAGGGGTGTGTGTGTGTGTGAGAGAGAGAGAGAGAGAGAGAGAGAGAGAGAGAGAGGTTGACTCTGTCTTCTTCCTTCCTTCCTTTCAAAAATTTCAAGCTCAGCGTTGTGCCATTGTTCCCAGCGATGTTTCGGTACTGCACCGTGGTCAGGTCAGGTGGGGACCGAGCCTTGGGGCTGGGTGAGAGTGTATAGGAGCTGGGTTTTCACAGCTCTTCTGCAAAGCTGAGATCGTCTCAGTTACTTCCCCGTCCTGGGCTGGTCATCAGCAGTACCGTAGCCGTGTGGCCGACTCCACCCGCTGCCGCTGCCGTGGAGGGCAGGGTGAAGCCGATGCCCAGCCGTGAGTGTGGGTGGGGATGGGTGCACGTCTGATGCTCTCTTCTTCTCTTCGCAGGGGAGGCCTCTGCTGCAGAAGTCCCCTCGTCTTTTGTGATCCTGTCTGTGTGCAGTTTGATTATATTAATCGTGTTAATTGCAAACTGTGTGTCCTGCTGCAAGGACCCAGAGATAGACTTCAAGGTAAGCACAGCTGGTGGGGCCGCCGGGGTTGCCTGGCCGTTCTTGCCCGTAGCCGCATGCAGCTCGCAGTGTCCCGGGCCGTTCTCGCCCGTAGCATGCAGCTCACAGTGCCCGGGCCGTTCTCGCCCGTGGCATGCAGCTCACAGTGCCCGGGCCGTTCTCGCCCGTGGCATGCAGCTCACAGTGCCCGGGCCGTTCTCGCCTGTAGCATGCAGCTCACAGTGCCCGGCCGTTCTCGCCCGTAGCATGCAGCTCACAGTGCTCTGTTCTTGCCCGTAGCCGCATGCAGCTCGCAGTGTCCCGGGCCGTTCTCGCCTGTAGCATGCAGCTCACAGTGCCCGGGCCGTTCTCGCCCGTAGCATGCAGCTCACAGTGCCCGGGCCGTTCTCGCCCGTAGCATGCAGCTCACAGTGCCCGGGCCGTTCTTGCCCGTAGCCGCATGCAGCTCGCAGTGTCCCGGGCCGTTCTCGCCCGTGGCATGCAGCTCACAGTGCCCGGGCCGTTCTCGCCCGTGGCATGCAGCTCACAGTGCCCGGGCCGTTCTCGCCCGTGGCATGCAGCTCGCAGTGTCCCGGGCCATTCTCGCCCGTGGCATGCAGCTCACAGTGCCTGGGCTGTTGGTTCTCACCTGGCTGCAGACTTCTGGAAGGCCTCGGCCACAGTGAGTGGTAACCGCTGTAGCCCTGTGGTCTTGGGCACAGCTGCTCAGCTTTCCAGGCTGCCATCGTAGTGCTCCCTGTCTTAGCGTTCAGCTCTGTGAGCAAATGGTCCTGGGTGTGTGCCGATTTAAACTTCTTTTACAAAAGCAGGCGGCTTGCGCTTGGTCCTGACACAGGGCCTGTAAGGGAGGGCATGAGGGCAGGGTGCCTCAGTTTTGTTTCTCAAGCTTACGCAGGCAGCTGAGTTTCAGATCCTTAGGTTAAGGTGGGGTGATGGCCAGCGTGTTTCCTATTTGAGGCCGGACGCTGCTGTTGGTGAATTCCTGGCCCAGGGAGGGAGCCCAGGGCAGGGCCGGGCCACAGTAGCAGAGGGCCAGACGGCTTCTACGTCAGCCAGCTGAGAATCCTGCCCCGAAACTGGCCTGCTGGAATCAGCAGAGAAACTGCACTGTGAAGTGGAGTCTACACAGCAGGGCAGGGCTGGGCCAGACAACCTGGGCGCCGCTGGTTCAACTCAGGAGTTAGGAACCCTGACTGGGAGCTTAGACCTCCTGCTGGACAGACAGGTACCAAAGGCCCGAGGTGGCTCTTACTCTGCGCACTTTTTGTGCTGTCTGCTGGCTGCCCTGTTGGGCCAGAGCTGGGCTGTCCTCCCGCTCATCCCAGCAAATCAGCACACACATACACACGAGGCAGGAGCAGGCTCCTGTCACCATGGGCCCTTTTGTGGGAATGTGGTGGTGAACACAGCGCCTGGGGCCGCTCGTCTGTCTGAGGGACTTGACACACACACTGGCTGTTCGGGGCGGTACAGGCTGATGGGCATTACTGATAGTCAGGTGCAGCCCAGCTCTCACATTGCCTCTGGGTTCAGCACTGAATAAGGAAGGGGGCTTACTGTGATGCAGAGCCAGGGCCCTGTAGAGCCAGGGTGTTGGGGAGCTGCTGATGTACCCCAGATCCTCCGTGGGGCTGGGGACTGAAGGTTGGAGGTCCCCTTTGTGCAGGCTCAGAGCGAGTGTGCCAGCCTGCCCTGTATGGGAGGCACTTGCAGATCCAGAACGGAAGTGATTTGTAAGACCTCGCTCGCCCTCTTCACTCTTTAGTTGTTCTGTGTGACCTCTCTGAGGCTCTAGAGTCGTCTGTGGGTGCATCACGCTGCTGCCAGGGTTTGGGTGGAAGTGATGGGCAAAGTCTTTCTAAGGAGAGAACCTTCAGGAATATCCAGAAAGCAAGCGAAGGCATTTCTTCTGTGGAGAAGTAGCAGCCCCCTCCTCCCAGCATCCCTTGTTCCTGTCTGTGCTCCCTGCCTTCCCTGCAGACAGCAGTACCATCTGTGTAGTACAGACCAAGTTATGCGTCAGAGTGCTACTGTGGCTCAGGTGCCTCCTGGCGCGGCGGGGAGTTGGTCTCGGGAAATGCAGAGAAGTGGAAGCGGGCTGGCCCGCTTGGAAAACACCTGTTATTTTACTTGAAATGTGTGCAAGCGAGGGTGGGGATAGAAGTGGGGACAGTGTATTCCACGTCAGAGAGCAAACATGTCTCCGTTTGGTGTCGGCCTGTGGGTTTTCACACTTGCTGTCTTGGTTTTAGGAGTTTGAGGATAACTTTGACGATGAAATAGACTTCACGCCACCAGCTGAAGACACTCCGTCCATCCAGTCCCCGGCAGAGGTCTTCACTCTCTCAGTGCCAAATATCTCCCTGCCTGCCCCATCCCAGTTCCAGCCTTCTGTAGGTAAGGCATGTTCCCAGGCCTGGCCTGTGTGCCTGCCTCCCTCCGACCCCCCACCTTCCCAGGGTAGGGGCATGCATCGGACTTGAACCCGTGCTGCTCTGGGTGCCTGTCTGCTCAGACGTTCTCTCCCCTAGTCCTGGCCGAGGGGACTTGGTTGTCTTGCGCCTGGGGAGAAGGGCTATGTTTGGGTATGTGAATCACATTGGCTTTTTGCAAAGCTTTTAAAGATAGAGGTGCGACTAAATGTTAATTGAGTTCTTGTTTCAAAATAGAGTATGACCAGTGGATCAAGAAGTGGGTTTGCCATGACTGCTGAAATGAGGCTGTTGCAGGCCTTGCAAGGCCAGCGTCTTCTGCTAGTGAGGGCAGGGTAGACCCAGGGGCTTGCCATGCCCCTGTGGGCTTGCCCAACATGAGTAGTGCTCCTCATAGAAGATTTGCAAAGTAGGGTTTGTTTGGTGTCTGCAGGCTTTGCCGTGCGTACCAAGTGACATGCAGTGTTTAGCTTTAATTTCTATAAATAATGCTTTTACTTCAGCCGTAAGAGTGGAGTTTGAAAGGACTCTAATGTATCCTACAGAATAACTTTAGCGTACTCATCTCTGAGTGGGAGTGTTTGTCATTGCTTGTTTGATAACGTGCTCTGCTTTATACTTAAGGAAAGCCCCAGGAGACCTTCAGTCTGTTAGCCGTGAATACATTGCAAGTCATAGAGCCCTGACTCAGGTCGGCTGCGGCGGGACAGGGCATCGGCTGGCCTGTGGGACTGTCCCCGAGTGGGAAGAGTGGAGCTGAAGCTGACCTCCCCACTTCCCATTGCTGATGTTTCACAGGCAGCATTGCTGCTTTGTGGAGGGCCGGCTGCTTCTCTGTCCTCTCCAGGGACTGGAAAGGAAGCACCCTGGGGAGGCACTCTGGCCACACAGTGCGGGGCCATCTCTGCAGACAGGGCTGGGACAGCTAAGGGGCCAAGGGATTATGCCAGCTACATCCAGATAGACGGGAGTGTGGGCATGGGCATGAGAAAAATTAGGGTGGCCTGGGCAGCCGCGCTGGCTGTGTCCGCACCTGCCTGTGTTGCACTGAAGCCCTCTTCACAGGAAGGAATCACCCCAGGACGGGGTGTTCTAATCGGGAATGTGAGTCCCTTCCTGGGGTGCTACCACATCTAGAAGGAATAAAGGAAACTGCCGAAGCTGACAGGCTGAGATTCTGTGTGGATACACAGACACCAAAAACAAATGCATTATATTAGCAAAAGCTATCCGTAAACTACAAAAAGGATTAAAAAATGTCACATGTTAAGATCACAAGCAAGGGCTGCCATTGTACAGGCCACCAGGCTGCCGTGTGCACTGCCAGCATGCTGCTTCCGAGTGCTGCTTCCATTCGTGGCTCAACCCGGGCCACTGCAGCCGCTGGGGGAGTGAACCAGGGCATGCGAGAGCTCTGCCTCTCTCTTTGGTCTTTCTCTGTGTAACTGGCTTTCAAAGTAAAAACAAATGAGGACATGAAAGAAGAAACTCATGGAAAGAAATTCAGGTAACAGTAAACATGAAAACCTAGTTATTTGCCAAAGAAATACACTTACAGTCAGATGTGAACAAGTAGAGATGGCATGTGTGACCCTGGTGGGCGACCTGTGCGGGCAGCTGGCTGGGGGCGGCGGCAGGTGCCTCCTGCCCTCCTTTGGGGTGAGTGGTGGTAGTCTTCCTGCAGCACCGCCTGACGTGGGCGGGTGCCAGCTCCACTTTGAGTCATTTATCTTTAGGAAGTTGTTGAGTGACCGCACAGATACTTGGGCACAAAGCAGTTCCCTTACTGCAGCCCTGTCTGGCAGCGTGAACTGCAAAGAGCTGAGCGCTGATGGTTCCGTGGTGGCACGTGGCCCGAGGAAGGGCCACAGGAAGAGCTCGTGTCGGGCATCGTGTGAGTGGCCATGGCTTACACGGAGTCCACAAGTGCTCCAAGTGCTGCTTGCCGTGGAGACCCATTTTCTTCACTTGAACATTTTTTTTTTAATTTTCAAAAGGATTTGAGTTTTTGTGGAGTTGTTTTAGGGTCACTGCAAAATTGAGAATGTACACAGGTCTGTGTGATAGGGCTGACCCGCACATGGGCACAGTCCCCGACCCGCACACTGACCCGCACATGGGCACAGTCCCCAACCCGCACACTGACCTGCACATGGGCACAGCCCCCAACCCGCACACTGACCCGCACATGGGCACAGTCCCCAACCCGCACACTGACCCACACATGGGCACGGTCCCCAACCCGCACACTGACCTGCACATAGACACGGTCCCCAACCCGCACACTGACCCACACATGGACACAGTCCCCAACCCGCACACTGACCCACACATGGGCACGGTCCCCAACCCGCACACTGACCTGCACATAGACACGGTCCCCAACCCGCACACTGACCCGTACATGGACACGGTCCCCAACCCGCACACTGACCCGCACATGGACACGGTCCCCAGCCCGCACACTGACCCGCACATGGGCACGGTCCCCAACCCGCACACTGACCCGCACATGGACACGGTCCCCGACCCGCACACTGACCCACACATGGGCACAGCCCCTGACCCGCACACTGACCCATACATGGGCACGGTCCCCAACCCGCACACTGACCCGCACATGGACACAGTCCCCAACCCGCACACTGACCCACACATGGGCACGGTCCCCAACCCGCACACTGACCTGCACATAGACACGGTCCCCAACCCGCACACTGACCCACACATGGACACAGTCCCCAACCCGCACACTGACCCACACATGGGCACGGTCCCCAACCCGCACACTGACCTGCACATAGACACGGTCCCCAACCCGCACACTGACCTGCACATAGACACGGTCCCCAACCCGCACACTGACCTGCACATAGACACGGTCCCCAACCCGCACACTGACCCGCACATGGACACGGTCCCCGACCCGCACACTGACCCGCACATGGATACGGTCACTAACCAGCACACGGACACGGTCCCTGACCCGCACACTGACCCGCACACTGGCACAGTCCCTGACCCGCACACTGACCCATACACATGCAGAGTCCCTCACCCACACACTGACCCGCACATGGATACGGTCCCTGACCCGCACACTGACCCGCACACTGGCACAGTCCCTGACCCACACACTGACCTGCACACGGCACGGTCCCTGACCCGCACGCTGACCCATACACATGCAGAGTCCCTCACCTGCACACTGACCCGCACACTGACCCGCACACTGGCACAGTCCCCGACCTGCACACTGACCTGCACACTGGCACAGTAGTGAAATGTACTTCTGTACAGCCTCCTGTTTTCTGCTCTGTCTCACGTAGAAGCCTCAGCATCCTAGCAGGGTGAGCTTACTTAGTCTTGCTTCTAGTTGCATACTGGGAGCTTGTGAACATTGCAAACCTTGCACTTTATGAACATTTGGTTGTTTTAATGTAAAGCTTGTTCCTGTGTGTGTTGCACACTGTTGTGCTGGTATATTTTTAGAATCTTTTTTTTGGTAACACATTTGAGAGTGTGAGCGTGTGTGCGTGCTGGTTGACTTCCCACAGGCTTGCACAAGCTGGGCCAAGTGTGCGTGCTGGTTGACTTCCCACAGGCTTGCACAAGCTGGGCCAAGTGTGCGTGCTGGTTGACTTCCCACAGGCTTGCACAAGCTGGGCCAAGGCCAGCGCTCAGTGCGTGTCTCCCCAGGGGCGGCAAGAGCCCAGTTATCTAAGCTGATGCCACGGCCTCGCAGGGCTGTGTTAGGAGGAAGGCTGGACTCCGAGCTGGAGCTGGGACGTGAACCCAGGCCGTGTGATGGGGGACAGAGATCCTGCCCAGGCTGTCGCATCCCAGCGGCCGAGGACTGTTCTATAGAATTCAGTAGTCACAGCATCCTAACCAGAATGCCCACTGCTAGGCCCGAAACCTGCCCCTGTTAGAGTCAGTGCTTAAAGGAACACCTTTCTTGATGATTTTCATGCATGTTGCCAGCAAGTACCCAAGCAAAAGTACAGTCAGGAATTGCAACAATTTATGTGATTGCTAGTTGAGTATCAAAAGCTAAGAGTATTGAAATTAAGTTGGTTAAATCCAGATTGTTACAAATTTAGGTTGTTAACTGTAATCCCCATAGTAACCATGGAATATGTACAAAAAATAAAAAATTTAAATGGCACACTAAAAAAAAAAGATTAATCACTATACACAAAAAAGGATTTTTTGCTGAAGAGCATTCCTAATTTTTTTTAAAGATTTAATGGAAAATCAGATCTTCAGAGAAGGAAGAGACAGAGAGAAAGATCTTCCGTCTGCTGGTTCGCTCCCCAAGAGGAACTGATATGAAGCCAGGAGCCAGGAGCCAGGAGCCTGCTCCAGGTCTCCAGCAAGGGTGCAGGGTCCCAAGGCTCTGGTCTGTCCTCTGCTGCTTTCCCAGGCCACAGTCAGAGAGCTGATGGGAAGTGGAACTTCTGGGACACAAACGGATGCCCATATGGAATCCCAGTACATGCAAGGCAAGGATCTTAGCCACTTGGCTACTGCACTGGTCCCCATTCCTGATATTTAATGTAGTAGTCTTTTTTTCACAAGTCAAAATGTGACAATTTTTCTAGAGTTAGAGATTTGTTTCTTAAGAAATCTTTCGTGGGCTGGTGCGATGGCTTGGTGGCTAAATCTTCGCCATGCACGTGCCAGGATCCCATATGGGCACTGGTTTCTGTCCTGGCTGCTCCACTTCCCATGCAGCTCCCTGCTTGTGGCCTGGGAAAGCAGCCGAGGACGTCCCAAAGCCTCGGGACCCTGCGCCAACGTGAGAGACCCGGAGGAAGTTCTGGGCTCCTGGCTTTGGTTCGGCTCAGCTCCGGCCATTGGTGCCACTTATCTTTCCATATCTGCTTCTCTCTGTACATGTCTTTCCAGTAAAAATAAATAAATAAATAAAATAAATAAAGGACTAACTCCTTCCCTATTCTATAATTCCAAGTTGGTTGTTTTTTCTCCTGAGTTGGGGTTCTGCTGTGGCGTGAGCACCCCTTCTGATCTGGAGGTGCTGTGGGCGTGGCGCTGGCAGCCTGCTGCTTTCCGTGGGGCGGGGGTGCTGCTTGGATCGCCCTGGCGTTTTCCTTCCTTTGCTTCACGCTTCGGTAGGGTGAGTCTGTTCCAGGCTTTCGGTTCTTTTTGTTTGTATTTTAAACAAAGCGTGTTTTCTTACAGATTTTTAACTTTTATGTGTTTGAAAGGCAGAGGGAAAGACGGAGATGGACACTGAGAGAACTCTCCCATCTGCCGGCTCTCTCCCTGAATTCCTGTAATGGGCCGGCCAGGGGCTGGGAGCTCAGTGCAGGTCTCCATGTGGCTGGCAGGGGCGTGGGGGCCTGCCGCGTCCAAGGGCATGTGTCAGCAGGAAGCTGGGACTGCAGGCGGGACCTGGGCCCTGACACAGGCGCTCTGCTGTGAGAAACCTCTTTAAAATTTACTTATTTTTATTGGAAGTCATATGTACAGAGAGAAGGAGACACAGAGACAAAGATCTTCTGCCCATTGGTTCACTCCCCAAGTGGCCTCAATGGCCAGAACTGAGCCAATCCAAAGCCAGGAGCATCTTCCGGGTCTCCCCTATGGGTGTGTGGACCGTCCTCTGCTTTCCCAGGCTACAGGCAGGGAGCTGGAGGGGAAGTAGAGCAGCCGGAACACAAGTTGGCTCCAAATGGAATCCTGGCCTCTGCAAGATGAGGAGTTGAGTCACTAGCCCAAGTCAGGCCCCAAAGAACCCTCCTGAGCACCATGCCAGATGCCTGCTGGGCCACTTGCTTTCCTTTTTAATTTGTGTTTCTTTTCCCATTATCGTGGTCTGAATTGTAGTATCTGAGTAATAACAAGTGTACATGTTTGCTCCCATTCTGTAGGCTCCCTTTTAATTCCTTTGATGTGTAAAAGTTTGAAATGCTTAAGACTTATTTGGAAGTGAAATTTACAGAGAGAAGGAAAGATAAAGAGAGGTATCTGTGTCTGCTGATTCACTCCCTAAATGACCACAGTGCCCGGGGCTGGGCCAGGCCAGAGCTGGAGCCAGGAGCTTCGTCTGGGTCTCCGTGTGAGTGGCAGAGGCCCAAGGACTTGGACCACTTTTTATGGCTTTTCCCAGGCCACCAGCAGAGAGCTGGATCGGAAGTAGAGCAACCAGGGCACAAACCCATGTCTGTATGGGATGCCACATTACAGGAGGCAGGCCTTCCCGCTTCGCCTGAGCAGTGGCCCAAAAAAGTTTCAAATTGATGAAATTTAATTTTTTTTTCTACTTATGTTCCTTGTACTTTGGTGTCATTTTTAAAACTCATTCCAAAATTGGTCATGAAGATTTACTTGTGTATTTTCTTGGGTGAGTTTCTTCAGCTCTTCAGCTTTTTCATCCATTTTGAGTGACTTTTTTTTTTTTCATGTGATGTAAGGGCGTGGTGTGGCTTCAGCCTTGTGCCTGGAACATCCGTCTGCGTGTCTGGCAGCAGTGTTGGGCCAGGGTTGGGGCGGTGCGGGAGCTATACTTTCCCCATTGAATTGTCCTGCACTCCTTTTGAAAATCCCCTGATATTTCTTGGGGTTCATCTGTGCACTTGGACATATTCTGTTGATCTGTCTGCCTGTCTTTATGGCAACATCATACTCTTGTGGTTGATGGAGCTTTGGTTTCTTGATAAGTTTTGAAATTGAGAAGCTTTGAGTCTAACTTTTCTTTTTCAAGGCTCTTGGCGGCTGTTGGAGCCTTGGCAATTCCGCCTGGATTTTTAAGGTCTGTTTTTCATCTCATTTCCTTATAGCAGTTTTGTGTTTTAGGGTGTGTGCTGCTTCGCTTTGGTTTTTTTCTTGTTTGGGTGTATTTCTCAGGTGTTTTCTTAGTGACTGTGAGGAAGTTGGTTAGCAGCCCAAGTGTGTGACCGTGGGCTGTGAGTAGAGGCCCCGTCGACCATGGAGGCCTGCAAGGGTGCCGTCCGTTCCTTCCATGCTGCCTTCACAAGTTAACCTCTTTACATGTTCTGTGTCCAAGCAGTCGTATTTTATTTGAAAGTTACAGTTCCATCAGCTGGCCGACTGCAGTGGCCAGGACTGGGCCGGGCCAAAGCCAGGAGTGGGAACTCCTCCTGTGTCCTCTGTGTGGATGGCAGGGCATTTCCACTGCTTTTCTTTTTAAAGATTTATTTTTATTATTTTCTTATTGGAAAGGCGGATATACAGAGAGGAGAGACAGAGAGGAAGATCTTCCATCCGATGATTCACTCCCCAAGTGAGCGCAACGGGCCGATACTATGCCGATCCGAAGCCAGGAGCCTCTTCCGGGTCTCCCACGCGGGTGCAGGGTCCCAAAGTTTTGGGCCGTCCTCGACTACCTTCCCAGGCCACAGGCAGGGAGCTGGATGGGAAGCGGGGCTGCCGGGATTAGAACCGGCGCCCATATGGGATCCCGGGCGTGCAAGGCGAGGACCTTTAACCACTTGCACCACCGCGCCGGGCCCTCCACTGCTTTTCTAGACACATTAGCAGGAAACTGGATTGGAGGTGGAGCAGCCAGGAGGGACAGGAACTGGCGCTCATGGGATAGTGGCATTGTAGCTGGTGGCTTAAGCCCCACAACGGCAGCCCCCAGGACGTAGGGCTTTAAATTACGTAGGAAATAAAAGGAGAAGCTATACACACTGGGCATGTAGTGATGTTGGCTTTCATGTTTAGATGTGTCGTAACCCTAGCCAGGTGGCTTTATTTCTTGGTGTGGCTCTCGGGACTTTTGTGTGTACCCGGAGGCCCCTGTGGTGCTGGCAGCCTCCCCCAAACCTTGGCTTGCCGAGTGTCCTGTGTCGCCGTCAAGCTGGCATGGAGAACACCTGGTTCATGGCGTGTCCCCTTGGTGCTTAGCCGATGTGCAGGCCCCTGTGCCCCTGCCCCTGAGGGCGGTCACGAGCTCGCCTTGCTGTGGCTGCCGCCTCCACGGTCAGCCCTTGAACTTGAGGAGTCCGGGTCATTCGCCTCCTGCCTGCGGGCGTTCCCGTCGCTCGGCAGAATGGAGCAGTGACCGTTGTATCTTCAGAAATCTTTTCTACGTTACATCTCTGCAAGTCTTACATCGTGTATGCACTGGCCCGCTCCCTGGCGTCGGCACCTCGGAGTGGGAAAGAACGCGGGGCAGGAGCCTGAGGAATCAGGGCCGAATAGTGTCGGTGCGGAACGTGCTTGGGATTCGAAGAGGGGGTTTGTTTCTATCTTAATGAGAACAAATGTTTGTCAGAGTTTGTAATTTACAGGTTACTTATTTTAGTTTAAAGATTACCTTATATTTAATTTTTAACAATATTCTTTTCTCTACAGAAGGTTTGAAGTCTCAAGTAGCCCGCCACAGCCTCAACTATATACAGGAAATCGGGAACGGCTGGTTTGGGAAGGTAAAAATTTGCCTCACTTTCCTTTATTTGCCTCCTGATCATGCTGGTAGAGTTCAAGGCTGGTGAAGAGCCATGTCACATGACGTTCCACCTTGTCCAAGATGCACGGTGTGCAGTGTGTCTCCCCGTGGGACCTCCCGCCTGGCCGTCCTGGGCGTGTACCTTCCCTGAAGTGCTTGTCCAGTGACAGAAGTCTGGGGGTCACGCGGTGAAGGCCCATCCTGGGGTTGACAGCAAGGACAGGACCCTCCCCTCCCCCACAGGCCCCACGCCCCATCACATTGTGATAGGTTCAACGTGTGAGCTTTGGCCAGGACGCACAAGTTTAGACCATAGTTTAAAAAAATTTTTTTATCAGAAATATTGCTGCAGGTAGAGGTAGTGGTGCTGTCATGAAAGCCAGGCTGAGCGGGTTTGGCTTCTCAAGGCCATTGTTGCTGGTGTTTGTACCCTGATTGTTGGGAAGGCAGAGCTGTTACACTGTTGCCCCTGGGTAGCAGCCTTCTCTCTAACCTCCCAAAGGTTCCTGCTGGAGTGCTCAGGCTGGCCGGAGCAGGGCAGTCACTGCGCAGCTTTGCTGTGTGTTCAGCTGCCTTAGGCCGCTTGTCTTCCCTTTCTTTCTAGTCTGTCAGCTCTCCACCTCTCACTCCTCCAGCCTGCTCACTAAGGCTTCTGGGCAGCTTGCCCAGAGCTCTTCATGTGGTCGACTGTTGGTGCCTGAAGCCAGGCGTGGAGTGCCAATGTGTAGCAGCACACGGCAGGGTGCCTGCCCACAGGATGCTGCCCTGCTTGGTTGGGAAACTCAGGCCTTAAGGATCATCTGGTGGTGGGGCCAGGCGGGTGGGAGACTGGTCAGAGGGGTACGGGGGTGCCACACGATGCAGGATGTCGAATATGTAGGGTGGACACCTGCTCAGGGGCCGAGCTGAATGACGTCATCTGAGAATTGCCATGGCAGTTACACTGGAGAGGGACTGGGTCAAGCAAGGAGGTGAGTTAGAGGCCTGCAGTGGGGTCCCAGGCCAGGGTCCAGGTGCGTGTGCCCGTGGACAGAAGCACTGGTGTTGGTGGCCCTGGCAGTACACTGTTCCCTGGATAGACCAGGTAGGGAACCTGGAGGATGAGAGTTGGCCATTTTTTTTAAAAAAAAGATTTGTTTATTTTTTTTTTTATTGCAAAGTCAGATACACAGAGAGAAGGAGAGACAGAGAGGAAGATCTTGCATCTGTTGATTTACTCCCCAAGTGGCCGCAATGGTTGGAGCTGAGCTGATCTGAAGCCAGGAACTACGAGCCTCTTCCAGGTCTCCCAGGCAGGTGCAGGGTCCCAAGGCTTTGGGCCGTCCTCGACTGCTTTCCCAGGCCACAGGCAGGGGCTTGTGAGGCAAAGGAACCAAGAGGCTGAGGTGTTGAACGAGTCATGGCCACAGATTTCCAGTGACAAAGTGGTTGTGCGGGTGAGGCTGACCGGGTCACTGTGGTGGCCGGCGGTTACACTGTCCCTTGCTGAAACTGGTATTTTATGATTGTTGTGTTTATTAAAATGCACTAGTTATTTGAAAACAAAATTAGGATTTAGTTATTCTGCCTTTAAATTTGTTTAGAATATCACTGTGTTCCCAGGACTTTCAGGAGACTCCTATCGTATGAAATGTTCACGAGGATGGTTTTCAGTTTTGATCTTTCTCTAATGAAATAAAAAGCCTTCCCTTTATCATTTTCATCTTAAATATTGTACTTTGAAATGCCTTTGCGTTATCTGAGATGGTTTAATAATGCCCTTAGAGCTGGTTCTTATATGAGCTAGCTCATTCTTACTTTGCACAGTCTGGATTTTCAGCGTGTTTTTTTTTTTTTTTTTTCTGTGTGTTTTGGCTAAAGTTTCTGTGTAAGGTGAAACTTGTTGTTGTTGGAATGCCACAGATTTTCTGGGTGTTGTGGTGCAGTGGTCACTTCCTTGCACACTAAATGGCAGCTCATCTTCTACAAAGCAAGCTTAGCCCGAGGTTCCCTGAGGATGTCTGAGTCACATTTGAACTGCGCATGTGCAAATCGCCCTTCCGTGGGGTGCTGGGCAACCTCCATGAAATTAGAATACATTTTTAAAAAAATCTGTGAGTGTTAAAACAACCTAACGGCTAGACTGAAAATAGCTGTTACCTGACGGACACGTGGGCCTTGTCCAGCCTGTGTGTGATGACAGAGGGCCACCGACTGGCCATTTCCTCCTTGTGGGGTTCTTTGGTAAATGATAGGATTGCTTTACTGGTTTGATGGAACTGAGGCCGAATCTTTGCTTTGGTTCCAGGTCCTCCTCGGAGAGATTTACACAGGCACCAGTGTAGCGAGAGTGATAGTGAAGGAGTTAAAAGCCAGCGCGAGCGCCAGGGAACAAGATGCCTTCCTGAAAGATGGAGAACCGTACTAGTAAGTAGGCCTTCCCGTGTGTTCTGTGCGCGAAGTCTGAGGGCTTTTGGAGAAACAGATGCTTCCAACTACTTCAGGAACCATTCCTGAAACACGGGCGGTGAAGTGGAACCAGGAGCTGCTACGACCCAGTGTCCCACTGAAAAATCACTTGCTCCAAGGAGCAGGAGATGGCAGAAGTCGCCAGCTGAGGTGACCAAGGTGTTAGAGTTCTCTGGTGAGGATTTAAAGCCACTGCATGAAGATGCTTTGCTGAGCAATGCTTATACAGCAGATGACAAAAAAGAAAACATAAATTCTAAGTGAAGAGATAGCAGACGGAACGGTCATTCCAGAATCAACGAACGCAGTCAGTACCTGCAGAGGAATCGTCAGTGAAGGCGCTCGGCGGCAGAAGGAGAGGACGCACGAGGAGGCCGTGCTAGGTGCTGGCCAGTGTGAGCCTCAGGGAGAAAACGGGCTTGGGGACAGGTGCACGGGGGGACATGGGAGCCCCAGCGGGAGCTCACCCCCATGTCAGAGACCCCCGAGTGAAGGATGGGGCTAGGCAGGTACTCAGAGAGCAGACTGGAGAGACAGAAGCTGCGGACTCAGGAATTTGAGCAAATCCCAAATAGGATCAACCCAAAGTGGGAGCAGTGGGGGGCAGAAGGCCAAGACGCGTGATTCAGTGCTGAGAACAGAACACCAGGGTTCTTTGTTCAGAGAAAATACCCTCTGAGCAGGAAGGGGCTGTCGAGGCGTTCCCTTCTAGATTAAAGGAACCTTGAGCATTTCGGACCACCAAATCTGTCCTAATAAGTGACACATTTTTCTAAAGAGAAAAGAAGGAACAAGAGTGTGAGCAGGCTTCTTTGCCTTGATGAAGAGCCACGGAAAGCCGCTGTCTGGGTCCCCAGTGAGGACGGGCCACGGAGGTTTGGTGCAGTGTTGCTGTTCGCAGTGGTGTGGGAAGGTCTGCAGGGAGCGGAAGGAAAAGGGCAGGTGGGCGAGGAAGGACAAACAAGAGCTTGTATTTGTAGGTTCGTGGGAAAAATGCCAAAGGATCCACAACAACAAAATCCTGTAATTAACAAGTGACTTCTGCAAGGTAGCAGGATCTAAAGTCAGGATCTGAAAGTCAATTTACTTTTATCTTAGAAGATTTTTTGTTTTAAATGTTTTTATTTTTATTTGAAAGAGTCAGAGAGAGAGGAAAAACGAGAGAACTTCTGTCCGCTGACTCACTGCCCAAACAGGCACAGTGGCTGCAGCTGAGCTGATCTGAAACCAGGAACTTCTTCCGGGTCTGCCGCATGGCTACAGGCACCTGGGGGCTTGAGCCGTTTTCTGCTTTCCCAGGCCACAAGCAGGGAGCTGGATAGGAAGTGGAGCAGCTGGTTCATGAACAGGCACCCACAATGAGGGGGCGTTGCTGGTGCTGCAGGTGGAGGCTTAACCAGCTATGCCATGGCACCAGCTCCCTCCATTTTACTACCGTGTATACCGTGTACTAGCAGTGAGCACATGAAAACAAATTGAAAATGTGGCATTTATACTCGGCTCAGACACAGAAAGGAAATACTGTATCAGCTCAGGATCTATGCTGAAAACAAAGCGCTGATGAAATAAAGATGGATAAATGGGGACAATCGCATGTTCATAGACGGGAAGAGCTCATTGTAGTGCAGTAAGGTTGTTGATTCTTTTCCAGTTGGTAAATCGGGAACTGCATTTACCATCGAAATTTCAGCAAGAGCTGTCTAGTTTTGATTTGTTTGTTTTTGTCTTTAAATTTGCGTTTGGTTTGAAAGAGAGAGCTCTTCCATCTGCTGGTTCATTTCCTAAATGTCTGTGACAGCCAGGTCTGGGCCAGTACAAAGTCAGGAGCGTGGAACTCAATCTGGGTCTCGTGCATGCGGGGCAGGGATCCAGGTGCTTGGACCATCGTCCACTGCACACCAGGGTGCTGCGCATTGGTGGGGCGCTGGATCGAAGGCCACGGCCATCGTCCACTGCACACCAGGGTGCTGCACATTGGTGGGGCGCTGGATCGGAGGCCACGGCCATCGTCCACTGCCTCCCTGGGTGCTGCACATTGGTGGGACGCTGGATTGGAGGCCACGGCCATCGTCCACTGCACACCAGCGTGCTGCACATTGGTGGGGCGCTGGATCGGAGGCCACGGCCATCGTCCATTGCACACCAGGGTGCTGCGCATTGGTGGGGCCTGGATCGGAGGCCACGGCCATCGTCCACCACCTCCCCAGGTACTGCGCATTGGTGGGGTGCTGGATCGGAGGCCACGGCCATCGTCCACTGCCTCCCTGGGTGCTGCGCATTGGTGGGGCCTGGATCGGAGGCCACGGCCATCGTCCACCACCTCCCTAGGTACTGCGCATTGGTGGGGTGCTGGATCAGAGGCCCAGGACCATCGTCCACTGCCTCCCCGGGTGCTGCGCATTGGTGGGGCGCTGGATCGGAGGCCACAGCCATCGTCCACTGCCTCCCCGGGTCCTGCACATTGGTGGGGCACTGGATCGGAGGCCCAGGGCCATCGTCCACTGCCTCCCCGGGTCCTGCGCATTGGTGGGGTGCTGGATCGGAGGCCACGGCCATCGTCCACTGCCTCCCCTGGTGCTGCGCATTGGTGGGGCGCTGGATCGGAGGCCCAGGAACTGCAGTGTGGGATGTGACATGGTGAGTGGTGACTTGGTCAAACCCCTCCCCTCCAGTACGTCTTAAAAAACCGTGTGCAACATTACTGTGAAGTTTATGAAAAAGGACAATCACCGAATGGTCAAAGCTATTACGGAAGTATCACAATATTTGAAGAAATCCCTCTCCTGGACTTGGAGACATCTGGCAGCAGAACAGAATCAACAGCCTGAAGCTGACACCCATACGAGAATGACGCCTTCTTTTATGAAAAAGGTTCAAAAATAACGATGAGGAAGAAGGCTGGCCTTGCTCACACCGTTACAGCCGCAGTGGGTCACGTCGGGAAGCCGTCCCTGTGTTGCTGGAGGCTGGAAGTGCACAGTCTGCAGGGCGGGCCAGCAGGGATGAGCCCCAGCCTTGTTCCCAGCTGAGGGCCGTCTAGTGGCGGGGAGGAGGTTGGTCCTCAATGGAGGGATGTGCTGCTTTGGCCGTGTGATGCCAGGGGTCGTCCCGTCTTGGAAGCCTCTCCTAGAAACAGTCACCATATTGTGGGCTAACCTGTGTGGGCTTTGAGGCCCAGCCAAGTTCTGTCACCTGGACACACCCAGGACTTTATTCCAGAGAAGTGACACTTTGTGTACACACGTAAACTTTGTTTGGTGGGTGAGTGACCGAGCAGACGGAGCAGACGGAGGTGTGTCCCTGCCTTGGGATCCCGCTCTGCCATGTGGAGGACCGAACTGTTGGGGCATGTCAGGAATAGGTGAAGGGAAAAATTCCATCTCAGAACCAACTACTGCTTCCGCATGCACAAGGCCATGTTCCCAGAGTGACAAATGCGGTCGGAATGGCAGACAGGGCCTGGGCTGCTGGGGCACGAAGGTTGATGGAGAATGCCTGTGTCTTGCCCACACTGCAGCTGGACATGTGTGCACCTGCGGCCCCTCATGCAGAGGCTGACTCACCTGGCGGCAGGGCAGGGCCTGGCTGGTGTGTGCGCTGGGTGTGACTGGGGCACACCAACCTTCCCCATTCACCTTCATACTTGCCTTAAAATGAACATTGTGTTTTCCAAAAAGAGCTCACACGTCCCGTGTGCAGGGTGTACAGTCGGCCTTCCCCAGGGAGGACCTGACGTTAAGATTCTTCCGCTGGGAGTTCTTGTTTGTGGAACTGTTCACCTTGTTGGCTCTGAGTCACGCAGCCGTCAGGTAGTGTGCACCTGTCAGGCCTGCCCGCGTGTGATGCTCTGAGCCGTGTGCCTGTCCACGGGTGAGTTGCCGGGCGGAGGCTTGCCCAGCGCCGCTGCTGACCACCGTCCTCTGATTTATCTCTTGGGCAGCATTCTTCAGCACCCGAACGTTCTGCAGTGTGTCGGACAGTGCGTGGAAGCGATCCCCTACCTTCTGGTGTTTGAGTTCTGCGATCTGGTAAGTTTCTGGTAGAACTTGGTGCAGCCGTCTCGGGTTTGCACACGTGTGTCCACCGTCCATCCCCAGGGCAGGGCTTTGCCACCCACTCCCTCAGGACATGCAGTGGCAGTGTGAACCCACCCGATGTGCCAAGTGGTGGATCCGCACGCCACACTTAACCATGCGAGGTCCCGAGTTAGGTTCTAGTCTTTGCCTTTTTTTTTTGTGGATGACATGAAGGGAGTGTTTGTGGTGAGGGTGTGTGTGGGCAGAGCCAGACCTGCTGCCAGTGTGCCCTGCCACGGGGCGAGTCCAGACACTCCAGCCCGCGAGGGAGCCCTGCTGTTCTCACCCGGGGGCTCCCCGAGGGTCCCCGGATCCGTCAGGGTTGGAAGCAGTGGGGGTGTGCAGTGTTTGTAAGCTTAAAATTAACCTCAGTTCTTACCACAACAGTTTTATGACTTCAGTAGTTGGAAAGATGCTCTGTGTGCAGGTTTGTGTGAATAATTCTGGTAATTTCTCGTGGGATTTTCCCCCAGTACAGGACATGTAATTGTTCACAAGCCTGTGTTTTGGGCAGGCAGTGATCTCCCAAAAGGAGTTATTTGAGCTGACTGATGGGTGGTTGACTTGCATGGAGAAGTGGGCGTGCCCAGGTGAACCCCAACTTCCCTCAGACAGTGTCTGCAACTGTTAGGATGGCTGAGCGCTGCCGAGACGATGGCTTTCTGTGTGGCTCGCCAGGTGGGATCGGCGGAGGTGCTGACAGGACAAAAGTTACCAAGTGCTCACCTGGCATGCTCACTGTCCCTGGCTGATGTCCTGGTGACCCTCTGTCCCCGTGGCTTGGGGCAGCCAGAGAGCCCGCTCCCTCTCGGGTGCCCGCAGCCGCTGCGGTGCTGTCCCTGGCTGTGCCCGTGCTGGCTGCGGGCCCGGCCGTTGGTGTGTCTGCGGACACGGGTGGGACACCTGGATTCTGGTGTCGGTCCGTACGGCATTCTCCAAGCAGCTTTGGGTCAGGTTTACGACCCTGGCTTGGGGGGGCTTTGGGTCAGGTTTACGACCCTGGCTTGGGGGGGCTTTGGGTCAGGTTTACGACCCTGGCTTGGGGGGCTTTGGGTCAGGTTTACGACCCTGGTTTGGGGGAGCACGGAGCAGGGTGAAGCTTGAATCCATTTTGTCCCAGATTCTGAGAGAAGTGCAGCGCAGTGCCCCACTTGGGTTAGGAATTCTCGTGGTGTGTTTGGGTACCTCGTGGGAAGGCCACAGATGGAATCGGTGTCACGGATAGTTTGAGCCTGTTATTACTCCACTTAAACCCATCAAGATAAAGATATTACGGAAACTACAGCTCGTATCTTGTAAATACCTATGGCTCCAGTGCTAACCTCACTGGGGTTTATTGTAGTTGGTGAGGTAGTTGGAATTTCATCAACCTGTTTGGAGATGTTTTTCTTCCTCGTTTAATTTTTTTTCTTTATTCCTTGCTTTATTTTGGATTCTTGACTCATTATTCCTGTTTTCATTTCCCCCATCTATTGATTGAATTGTGACTTAATTTTGTAATTAATTACATTAGTTTTGTTGACAGCATGTGTGCTTAGCCTAACAAAAATCTAAAGTGTGTGTCAGCTCTTTTTAATATTGGAAATGTAATACATTAAAATTTTTTTCAATTTTTTTTTTATTGGAAAGTCAGATATACAGAGAGGAGGAGAGACAGAGAGGAAAATCTTCTGTCCATTGATTTCACTCCCCAAGCGGCCGCAATGGCCAGAGCTGAGCCGATCCGAAGCCAGGAGCCTGGAGCCTCTTTTGAGTCTCCCACATGAGTGCAGGGTCCTAAGGCCTTGGGCCGTCCTTGACTGTTTTCCCAGGCCACAGGTAAAGAGCTGGATGGGAAGCAGAGCAGCCGGGATTAGAACCGGTGCCCATATGGGATCCCGGGCGTGCAAGGCGAGGGCTTTAGCTGCTAGGCTGCTGCACTGGGCCCTTGTCAGTGTTTTTTAGCCCTACTTCAAAGCAGCCGGACGCGAGGTCTCTCCCTGCCTCTGGGGAGAACTAGAGTTAAACCCACTGCTGTGTGCCCTTCCACGGCTCTGCTGTCATGGGCAGTGCTTGTCTGCCAACTGCACGGGGTAGACAGGCTGCCCAGCTGTGTGTGGCAGGGAGGGGCACCTGATGCCCATGCCACCTCACCCCTGAAGCCCACTCGGGAGTGGACGTAGCCGGCACAGTGGGCAGCTGCACTGCCTTGAGCAGCCACTGTCTCCTGTGCCTGGCGGCGTGCCTGCTCCTTGCTGCCCTGAGACGGCATCCCTGGGGTTGCTGAGCCCGGGGACAATGGCCAGCAGACCGGTTAGGACCAGTCATTGTTCTTGAATGGAGTTGTGCGTGTGGCTGCGCGCCCAGCGGGACCCCCGGCAGTCTGGAACTTGCTGGAACCTGCAGAGTCCCAAGGCCTAGCAGAGGTACAGAGTGCACTGAGGTGTCAGGCGGGGGCACCGTGACTCCTGCTGCAGTGAGCCGAGCCGCCACGGGAGGCCGAGCACAGTGCCAGCCTCTGGGAGGGCCCAGACAGGCCGCGTCACAGAGACAAGGTGGCAGGGAGGGCCCAGGCGCTGTTGGGGTGGGTGCAGTCTCACTTCTGTGAGATGGACTGGTATGGAATGTGAGTGTCCCACTGGGCACTTCGAAGGATGCTAAACTTGGCGTTACTCATGTCTGACCCTCATGGTGCCGTCGCCATGACCTCTCTGTGGAGGAGGCTGTGGGTGCTGGTGGACTTGAAGGGAGCAGCTTCCCCAGTGGCAAGGGCCCTGGTGGGGCGGCACTGCAGTCCAGCTGCTGGGCAGTGTGCAGGGGTGCAGCCCTCGCACCGCCTGGACACAGAGAGCCCCATCCTCCCAGCGCTGCTCCGGCACAGGCCTGCCCCACACATGCCTGCCGGCCGCCAGCCAGACCAGTAGCTTTTGGCCTCACGGCGAGCGGGTGCAGCCCTCCTGTCGTGGCTGCGCTGCTCATCCCAGCCATGGCACCTCCCAGTACGAAGGAGTGAATGTTTTTGCACTCAAGTAACTCCTTGTAGGGTGGAATTACTAGTTTTTTGTTTGTTTTTTTAGATTTATATATTGTTTTATTTGTAAGGCAGAGTTAGAAAGAGAAGATCTGTTCACTCCTGGTTCACTCCCCAAATGGTTGCCAGCGTCAGAGATTGGCCAGTCTGAAGCCAGGAGCCTGGAGGTTCTTCCTGGTCTCCCACGCGGGCGCAGGGTCCCAAGGCTTTGGGCCGACCTGGACTGCTTTCTCAAGCCACAAACAGGGAGCTGGATGGGAAGTGGAGCAACTGGTACAGAAAGTGGCACGTATATGGGATTCCGGTCTGTTCGAGGCAAGGACTTTGGCCACGAGGCTGACGCGCCGGGCCCACCTGTGTGCATTTAAGAGGAGTTTATCTTGGGAGTGTGTGTGAAGTCAGGTGAGAGCTCTGCCAAGTCTACATGGCTGACCTGTGATGTGCATGGTGACCGTGAGCATGACGTGAGCCGGGCGAGGACCACGTCGTGTGCTGGCGATGCCGAGAGACGCCGCTTGCTGAGGGCTATTGGATAAGGCACTGCAGACATGTGCTGAAGTGTGGGGTCCGCAGCCCCCGTGACTCCCTGGCCTTCCCGGGAGCTGGTGAGTGAGCCCTGCGTTGGATCTCCCCCAGCTCTGGCTGCGGTCTGGGGTTGCTGCAGGTTCAGTGTAGCGGTCCTAGGGGAGGCTTCGCAGGGGTGCGGAGAGGGATGGAGGCGGGCTGGAGCCGCAGGGCAGGGCCCTGTGGGAGTCCTGGCTGTGGCTGCCGGGAGCCGAGCTGAGTAACCGTGCTCAGTGGCGCTTTCTGCCCGTGTGGCAGCTTGTGCAGCTCTGTCACCGAGCTCCAGAGCAGGGGTCTGGCCTCATCCGCACAGCTGGGGCACACAGTGCTCACGCCCCCAGCAGAGCCCTGAGTGTGGTGGCTGCTGCCTCTGCTGGCCTGGCAGCATGCACCTGCCGGGGTGGCCAGGACCGCGGGAGCCCGGCCGGGCCCAAGCTGAGAGGAAGGAAGGGAAGGCCCAGCATCCGGGCCGGGCTCCGTGGTGGGCTTGGGTGTTCCAGCACGATGACGTGGGGGCACAGGTTAGAAAGCTGCGGTCAGGTGATGCGGAGGGGCTTGCGGAGGACTCGGGCCCACCCAGAGCCGCGTCCTCAGCTCTGAGCTGTCCCGCCCCCTCTGGGTTGGCTCTCTGTGCCCGTTTCTGTGCATGTTCTGCTTGAGCGGGGAGCGGGTTGAGTGCTGGTCAGCTGGTGCACTAGGACCGCCCTGCCCTGGCCTGCATGGCTTCCCCGCACCCCGAGGCTGGCCGCCGTTGGGCCTGTCCCTGGACTGCCCTGTCCTGGTGTCTGGCTGCTGCTGGGGCCAGCTCCTGGCTCCCACGCAGCCTTGACCGCTGGAGGCCCTTCCTGACCTCCATGCTGCCTGCCTCACACCACGTCTGCTGGTACTGCCCCCGCACACTTCCTGGCCGCACTGTTTGCTGCTGGGTCCCCTGGCGATGGCCATCCTGTAGTGGGCAGCGCTGAGAGGAACACCCCGCGGGTCCTGAGGCCGGAAGTGGCCGAGAGGGGCCCACTTACTGATGACGCGTCTTGGGGTAGCAGGTCAGACAGGATGGATGTGAAGGTTGCGTTTACCTATTTTTCTTTTTCGTGAGTTGGAACTGCTGCTAGGAACACTACAAAGGATATTGTGTAAATGTCAGTATCTTCTGAAGGCAGAACTCTTTTTAAAGTTTTTAATAACTATTTTTCATTAAAGAGACAGACAGCTCTTCCATCTGCTAGTTCACTCCCAGGTGCGTGTGATAGCCGAGGCTGGGCCGGTCTGACGCCAGAGCCGAGGGCTGTGCACCGGGGTAGCGTGGACTGTTTTCTTTGCATCTGTTTTATATTTATTTGTTTTTATTTGGAAAGCAGATCAGCTGCATCCCGTGTGT